TACAAGGAATACACCTGTGAAATTTGAAAGCCCTATTTCTAATGAAAAGTCAAAGAAGGGGTAAATTTTTTAAAAAGTGGTCAAACTTTAAGTAAATCAAAAATATTTATACCAGTTAAAAGGTCTTGTAACAATAAATACACATGTGAAATTTGAAAGCCCTATTTCTAACTATTCAAAAGTCAAGAGCAAGGGTAAAGTTTTTAAAAAGTGGGTCAAACTCTTAAGTCAAGGTCAAAAATATTTATACCAGTTAAAAGGTCTTGTCACAATAAATACACATGTGAAAGATGAAAGCCTTAGTTTCGACTGTTCAAAAGTTATGGCCAAAGTTAAAGTGTGGTATTTTTTGTACAAGTTGGTCAAACTCCAAGGTCAAGAGGTCAAATTTGGTGGTACTCATGGAAAGGTCTTGTCACAAGGAATACACCTGTGAAATATAAAATCCATAACCCCACCCACTCAATATTTATGGGCTAGATTAAAGTTGACAACAGACTGACAGAAAGACAAACAGACAGGACAAAAACAAAATACCCCGGGATCTTTCGATCCAGGGGCATAAAAACAAAAGTTATGTATAAGTGCATGATCCTATATTATTAATATTTTTGTGATTCTTACTAAATTAGAAGAAGACTATAGGGTAGCTGACCCATTTTGGTTCACATCATTTTAAGTTTTTCAAGAGTCATGAAATTTAAATCTTAGGTCATTCATACTCAGTAGCACAGTTTGACATATGAAGAGCATATCTTATATCAAATAAAATCTGAAATATGACTACTAGTATTTGCAGCAATTCAAAAAATTAGCTTAGTCACCCAAATGGGACACGACAATAGCATATGATAGTGGTCTTATGTTGATAAATGTAAATAAATGTTTATCTATCAATCGTATTGTCCATTTCCTTCATTCATAAAAAAAACTTGGATTATGATGAAGGAAAAGAATCAACCCTTTTCATTAATTTTAATGAGCAAAATTGAAGGATAAGAAATCTTTTACGTCTTCTACCTGAATTGAAAGTGATTCAGTGCTATATGAATTGATGAAGACTCAGTACTTTGAAAATAAAGTAACAATGGCTTTTGCTCATTGGTGCATTGTAGCCAAAAGGCATGATAATGGATTTCTCTATTAACTATCTTTGGGTCATCGCGCATTTGACAACGAGTTTTTTTTAAGAATTGACAATGCCGATGCATTTAAATTGTTTTGAATAAACATGGACATAAAAGGCCTCGATGCTATTGGTAACTATCTGATGATTGACGTTTTCGTCACCAGAAAGAGGGCGTGGCTGCGATATAAAATCCTTTTCAAAAGAACAAAATCTTTTGTCCACATCTGCGAGAAATCCCACATTTTCGAGGGCACCGGGTAAGTTTTAATTATTTTTTTTTTTTTAAAAATCGAAAATTGTTCTATTTTCATTTTTTGGGAGTATGCTTTAGGGTTTTTAATTTGCGTGTTCCTAAAATAACACACATATTATTTGCTCTACCCTTCATTAGAAAAATAAAAGTATTTTTTTTTCCCGCGATGAAGTCTCAATTTGTTGTCCTCATAGATTTCTGTGTAACATTTAAAATATATATAACTTTTATAAGTGGTTTCTTGGCATAAAACTGTAAAGCCTAGGACAAATTCTTGAATCTGATATATAATCAAACCTTTGGATGAATGGATTATATACACTGAGAGTTTTTGCATCAACCCTTAGAGGATAAAAAAAAAAAAAATCTATATCTCGTTAACCTAAAAATATGATTCAACTAAAGATTAAGATTGATGTTTGTTTGTTTGTATGCTGTTTAACGTCCCTCTCGAGAATTTTTCACGCATATGGAAACGTCACTACTTGCCGATGGAGAGCAGCATATTTTGTCCTATACTCGACACTTAGGGCCATTGAGAGAAGGATGAATTTTTTTTGTGCCAGCACCTACTGCGACACGGGTCCTCGATTATACGTGTCATCCGAAGGACCGTTTCCACGTCCCACAGTGGAATGCGAACCCGTGATGTAAGGATTAATTCTTACTTCTGACTCTACAGCAGACGCTCTAACCACTGCACCACGCGGGCGACTAAGATTGAGATTGAAGAAAGGTATAAAAATTGAAGATGAAGATTCTCTGTTTCAGTATCAAATTTAACTCATCATACACAACTGGCCCCGTCATACTGTATCGTTTCTCTAACAAAACTTAACGAGTACGGCTGTCTACATGATGAATCATCATGGCTTCAGTAAATCTTGGCATCCCTTCTCACATTTGTTGGCCCTTTAAAACTTTTTTGTTTCAAAATACAGGTCAAGTAACCAATATCTATCTCTGTTTATATAATCTCACGTTTTGCACTGTGCACTTTCGAAGATCCTTACCCAAAACTTTGAACAAGAATTTTTTCAACATGTTTTGTACTACATATAACATTATACATATATCACATGGTTCGAGGGTGACATACCAGAATATTTGCCCCAAGATGGCAGGAAACCATAGAGTGTAATGTCACACGATGCGGAAGTCAGGGTTATAGTGGGAATAAATTAAATTTGTTACATAATAGGAAAACGTATTAAAAAAATCGCCGGCGTGGTGACGCAGTGGTTAGAGCGTCCGTTCTAGAAGTAATTTAACGAGTTGATCCTAACTCCGGTTCGAATCCCACTGTGGGACGTGGAGACCGGTCCTTCGGATGAGACCATATAAATCGAGGTCCCGTGTCGCAGTAGGTGCTGGCACGAAAAAGATCCCTTCTTGCTCAATGGCCCTGAGTACCGAGCATAGGACAAAATTTGCAGCTCTCCACTGACAAGTGGTGGCGTCTCCATATGAGTGAAAAATTCTAGGGGACGATAAACATCATACAATCAAACAATCAATCAATCAATCAATCAATCAAAAATGTTATATTTTTAATATCATTTCAGACGACCAATATGCGGTTCTGTGTGCTACTTCTCCTTGCCGCGTCGGCACTGGGTAACCCTCCAAGAGTTATTAACCTTGGTACAAGGTTTGTCCCCGGCTACCAGAACCAGTATTCTGAGTTAGTGGCCAGAATACTCCGATCAAGGGGAATTCGAGTTTACTCAGTGTACGACATCGCTAACATCAGGCGGTCATCTCTCTCTCAAGGAGGGGATCTTTGGAGATTCCCCTATTGGATCTGGGCTAGACAGCACCTTTATTAGAAGTTCGGCGGTACCTGGTGGATCAAGTCTCACATACCAAGAGTTATACAGTGGTGCTGGCGGGTCAGTGGACCTGCTGGACCCGTGGGATATATCCCAGATGGAGTTGGACCTGATTATCTTCCAGGTGATGTAGGGAGAACCTTTGTCCGAAGTTCTACTTCCAGTGTTCGACCTAGTATTGGTTATGACGAATTATACAGAGATGTTGACGTAGGTGGTCCATCCATTGCACCCATACCAGTAGATTCAGGATCCGATTTAGGACCTCTGGATGGACCCGGAGCAGGAGTAGGGCCAGTGGGACCAGGAGGGGATCTTGGACCAGATGGATCCGGTGGTTTTTCACTCCCTTCAGAACTAGTTGGTGGTGGTGGCCTTTCAGGAGGTTTGGACGGACCTGGATTTGGACCAGCAACCGCGGGTCTTTCAGATTTGGACGGACCTGGATTTGGGTCAGCAGGAGTCGGCCTTTCAGGAGATTTTGGCGCCGGGGCAGATGTTGTCACAAGAACTTCCACATCTACCAGAACCAATCTCATACCTTACTCTTCGTCATCCACTTCTACCTATAGGGATCTTCCAGGACCATTTCGACATAGACGAATATAGACCTTACCTTGGTGGCGGTAGTTCGGTATACCGGGAGAGGTATTACGATAGTGGACCCAGATTTGGAAGTGGTGCCGCAGATGACTATTTCCTCGGAGGCGGACCTATCATAGGTGAATCTGGCTTTGGATCTTTGTCCGGCAGTTCAAGCTTCGATTACCTTCGTGGCTCCGGTGATTCAGGTTTAATTACCTTCGTGGCTCCGGTGATTCAGGCTTAGATTACCTTCGTGGCTCCGGTGGTTCAGGCTTAGATTATATCGATTCAGGGGATTATATTCCCGGGGCGGCTCCTCATCAGTTTATAGGGGATCCACAGGATTTCCCTCCTCTTACTACGTCCGGAGATCGTACAGCCTTCCCCAGACCTATTACGGACCCCGGGTTACCTCGGTCAGACGAACGTACACCTCCCCCGGATATGGTATTGGATTCTCAACTTACGGGGACGGGGGTTTGTGGGGGGAGGCAGATTTCAACAATACTTCTAGACGGTCCGGTGTAAGGTAATTGGTTACCGTATATACCCGACTATACGTCGGGAATTTTTTTTTGTGGGGGGATGCATGTATAGGCAGTATATACGGTAGATAATATTTATTATATGCACAATTTCGAAAATTAAACAAAATAATATTTTTGGACAAATATACCTGTATCTGATGTTCATGAAATATATTTATATATTTTAAAGAGATTTTATTCGTCATGTCTTTACTTTGTACGAGTATGCATTTCCCAATGTAAAAAATGAATTTCAATTCAACATTTATGTTTTTAATTTGCATAATTTTGAAATCAGAAATAGGATTCTAGATATATTGATTATTGTTGTTATTATAGGAAAAATTAACTTTCCTATTTGTTTTTTTTTTCAGGACAAAGTAAAAAAAAAGATTTCATTTTACATTTGTATATAGACGCCCGAGGTTGAATAAATTATCATACATCACTGACAAACACTTGTTTGTGTCTTCATTCATCAATCCGTATGTAACAACAGAACAGCAAATTAATGAATGATTCTCATTATATAAATACACAAATCCTCTATGTCACAAAAGTAAAGATTGTTATTTAACATAAAAATTGAACACGTAACAGATCGAGGAATAAACTACATGTACCTCTCTCATGTCTCACTCAGAACATCGCTGAACGTGCAGTTGTCGTTTGATGTGCGAGATGCATATAAAAATGTGATTTGTGTGAAAAATGTGACAAATTTTGAATTAAAAAAAAATGTAAATTTATAACTATTTTTAGATTATCATTGTTCGTTGTAATCAGTTGTCGCAGGTAAAAACAAACGCATGCTAGACAGCAGTTATTAGCAACAAGAAATTATGTGCACACCACCTCCCGAATTATAATATTATGAGGGGTATCGGTGTGAAATGGCGATTGTATTTGTTCTGGAAATTTACATAACCTTTGTTTACATTTTATTGCATTTATCATGCGTGAATTGTTGTACACTGCAGTGATCTATGCAACTGTCGTAACTGTCATTGGTATCTTTTTCTCCTAACGTACATATACACGGTTATTTTTTGTCTCTAACAACTGCTGTGTAGCACGTCTGTTTACATCGATGACAACTGTTTACACTGAACAGTGATAGTAAGCGGCTTTATATAAGGGTCCTCAGATATGGTGAGTGAACAATCAATCGAATATGGCGAAAACTCCTTCAATTACAAATTGTATTAAGGACCTTCTCTACACAAGTGCAAAATGTTTTTGGGCACTAAGAAAAATATATTGCATAAAGGAGTCAATATTGAGCTTATCTATTTAATTTTCACTGTATGGTGCGTGTCATTTACTTGTAATAATCTTACAAATCTATTATCTAGAATTAGAATCTAACAATAAATCTAAGGGCAGATCACGTACTCTAATTGCAGAAAAATACAATAAAATCAGAACTCTTTAGTGTTCAGTGTATAGAGGATTCTTAACCGGTTAACCGATTAATCGGTCAGAACGATGGTAATTGGTAAGAAAATCCATAATTGGTTAGTCAAAAAAAATATATTAAAATTTGAATACGGTTTTCTAAAAAATCATTTTTATATAGGAAACTTTTGTATAAAAGTTGATAATGTATAGGTTTTAACAAATCTTTAAAATTAAGCTTATTTGGAAGTGATTATTCCAGATCGAGATACGAAAAAAAATTACGGTATATAAAATATATTTGTAAAAAATCTTCTCAACAATAGCAAAGCCATGAGTAGTGATACTGGTATTTATATGGAAGCATTTTCAGGTAGTGTAGAATTAAATTTGTTCAAATCATAACCCCCAAGGGTAGGGTGGGGCCACAAGGGTGGATCAATTTACATAGTAAAATATTGGGGAAAATCCCAAGAACAGAAAAGCTATGTGTAGTCATATTGACATGTAAGCATCAAGTCCAACAATTGAGTTTGATTTATGTTTTAAACTAGAGCCAGTAGAGGCCAGGGAAATTCAATTTTGAAACAGGCACCATTGCTTATCATAAGTAATATATAGCAAGAAAATGTTTGGTTAAAAAAAATCCAAAGTCATAAAGTCATATGCTGTATTAAAATGGCATTCTCAAGTAGTATTAAAATTCAGGGCCCCTGGGTCAGGGCTTCTTGTGTTAGGGCGGGTCCACAGTTGAGCTCCCTATACCACAAGAACCACTGATCCTGGGGCCACATCTTTCAAAATTTTGGACATTTTTAAAAATTTTATTTCATCTTGCTGTTGATTAACATCAAAATGTTTTGATTAAAAGCATTCAATTATTTCAGACTATGCTACCCCCCCCCCCCCCAAAGTACCACTATCTTTCTCAGGGGCCAGGAAATTAACCATTTTTGGAAGAAGCATGTTTTTTTGTCATAAATATATACTAAGCTCATTGGCATTATACCCAACAACAAAGGAAATTATTTTCAAAGAATTCATGCATTTTCACTATATAAACATTAAAGCCCCGCCCTAACACAAAAAGCCCTAACCCAGGGACCCTGCAATTCAAAAATCTCAAAGAGGCATCCTTCCTCCTTATAATAATAATAATAATAATAATAACTAGAAACGATCTCGTTGCGAGCAACGAGAGGTCTTCCGTCCTATCCGAAAAATAACCCTAAAATCGAGCTGAAAATCTATTTAACATTTTTTTGGACACATTGGTAGTTTAAACGGGTCACTAGCGTGAAAATCCAATACGCTTATCGATTACGCTATTTGAACAACTTCTCTAAATTCACTTGTATGTACATGTAATTCTGCAACAGTTAATCTGTCTTGTAATTATGAAAGGAGGGTCACTATTCATAATTTCGCGCCAAACGCCACGAGTAAATCTTAGCGCCTTTCCCTTGGAAGGTGAGATAGCTTCAACCAAACCAAATAACAAAAGAGCGTTCTTATCGCCTAAATTTCGAGGAGTGGAAAGTATATTTAATACATACATGTAACATATCGTATATAGGCAAATAACACTAAAGCAGTGAAACAGCTATGAATGGTTAATTTTTAAAAAAAAATTCCTGTTAATCACGAAAGTGGACTTTTCCGATTACCTACACTTTCATGATAAAGGTTGTGTGTTTTACCGGAAAAATGCCTCGATCGCCCTACCAGGGTCAAGGAATAAGATTTCATTATGTTCAATAACTTGCATTGAGGAAAAAAATTGTTTATATGAAAAGTCAGTTAAACGGTCTTTTCAAAATAGTTGTCTTATAAAAAAATTTCCTTATTGTAACAGTTGTCTTTTCTATTAATTTAATATGACACAAGTGTGCATGGGAAAACAATGGTCAAGTTTTATACTTACTATATATATATTGTTTCTTGAAAAACTATAACTTATAACAACGATTTAAGCTATATGTTTCCGTGATGCAAAATAAAAGATAGTAGGTATTGTACTTCATTTGCACATTAATTCTTTTCTATTTCTACTTTGAGAAACAACTAAAACCAATTAAAGAAGACGTGTAAGGAGGCCTTAGATTATAAATGTAGTTTGACACAGAATTGCAACGTACCTACGTCGTGAAAATCCAAGTATTCCTTTCATTTCATTGCTCCTTATGTTACTTTCGTTCATGCAAACGCTCGGCTGCCTCTGTAAACCCCTATTGCGAAATGTCGGCGTTGACAGAGACCGCCGCCATTTTGGTCCCGGTTCAAATTTTTGATTGTTAATATCTTGAGTTTGGATTTATCAATTTCAAATCAAATTATATATTCAGCCTAATTTAAAAGGTTTCTATTAACCATACCAATATAATTCAAAAATATTGAAAAACAAAAAAGTTAGAAAATTCGACTTTTTAAATTCGCCTGCCGTAACGACAGGAAGTAGAGACGACATACAAAAGTTCATATCCTGGAAAGTACTTATAACGATCTATAATCCCTGAAAGTTTCACAGTGATATCTTTTACCGTTCTTGAGATTAACCGTGGACAAAATGTCATTTTAAATCAGAAAAATTGTCCGTAACTTAGCACCAGAAAGAAATTTCCTAAAAATATCTCGGATAAAATAACTTCAGATAACAACACATTGTTCCTGCAAATTTCATGAAAATCCATCCAGCAGTCTTTGAGAAATCGCGTGCACAAAATTAGATGTACGGAAAAATAATAATAAGAAACAGTAGAATCACTATAAGGTCTTCCGTGAAGACGGAAGACCTTAATAATAATGCTTTATTTAGAGAAGGTTACCCGATTAGTACAAGGTACTATTCTTCCCCGGGGCCTTCTAATTTCAAACAACATATTACATAAAATGATACAAAGATAAAACATGTTGAGTTCGTTAATGCATGAATAATTAAATGTAATGTACAGCTAAATGAGATATAGATTCAAAACAAAGAAGTCAATATTAATTGTTCAGGAGACATTGTCTTAAACAATAGTAATAATCAAACATCTTGTACAAAGGACATATTCAAACATTTATTTACAGACGTTGCCTAATTATAATTTTTTCTACATTTCGTCGAAAAATAGGTAAGGTTGAAGATAATTTTACATGTAATGGTAGGTTATTCCATAAATTTACACCTGAATATTGAATAGATTGCTAAATAAAATTGTTCGATGTTTTGGTAAACGAAGATTATAGTTTAATTCTGAACGTAAGGAATAGGAATCATGGCCATGAAAAACAAAAAGGTCCTGGAGATATTCAGGGCTCATACCATAAAAAGTTTTGTACAATAAAATACACTTATGTAGTGTGACTAATTCAAACACATTTAGCCATCCCAGTTTTTCAAACAATGGTTTTGATGGTTCATGGGGTGATGAATCAAGAATAATTCTAGCAGCCCGTTTCTGAAGTTTATGAATTATTTCAATGCTAGTTTTAGATGCATTGCCCCATATTGTAAGACAATAGTTTATTGAAGGCAAAATATATGCATTATAAAAAAGTTTTCTGGTATTTAATGGAAGAAATTTCTTGATTTTACGGAGTGTAAATAACTTGTATGTTAAGGATTTACAAACTGAATCTACATGATAATTATAATGAAGATTTTGATCTATATGGACACCTAGAGTTTTTCAACATTAACATTTTCAAGCAGTAATATTTCTCTTCTTGGGAATAGGAAATTGCAACACAACACCCTCCCTATCAAAGGAAATGGCATAGAGAATCTTCTTTGTCCTCTGACAGCGTTTGGTAATAACTGGACGCTTTCCATGTTTTGTCATCCAGACTTTATTATTAAACTTTCTCTGCGGCTGAAAATAATGAACCCACATTTCATCTCCTGTTACTATGTCTGAAAATAGTCGATTTTTTCTCTTTTTGAATAGTTTGATTTTTTTTTGCACATAAAACGCGATTAGCTTTCTGTTTCTCATTCAGTAAATGAGGTATCCACTTTGCTGAAATCTTTCTGTCACCGAGATCTATTGTAAGAATTTTATTAACTGCTCCCA